CAGAAATGGGTCCTCCATCACCGGTGCAGCCGGAGACTGACATCCGAAGCGAAGTTTGCCACTCTCTTTCCAGGCGAAAATCACACTGCAGTGGGCAGTGTGGAATAGCGACAGGAATCTTCGTGGGACCTTAATCTTCAGTCGAATGCCTGCATTATCGGAAGCCTCCAGAAGCGAAAAGTCTTTCGTTCTCTGCAGGACTTGCACAGGTGTGATTTGAAAGCGTGTAGCCTTCTTCCAGCTCGTCTTCCAGGCAAAAGCTGCAGAAATAGGGATTGCATCATATGCCATGGCTCAATCGGTACCCCTGCAAAATGCAGGGGCGACGGGCGCGCCACTTGTAGGCTTGAGCCTAACGCCTCTGGCCTTACTACTAGGAGCAAAGGACGCTACTAGGGGCTCCTGGCCGTACTACCAGGAGCAAGGACGGTACTAGGGGCTCCTGGCCTTAGTACTAGGAGGAAAGAACGCTACTAGGGGCTCCTGGCCGTGACGCTACTAGGGGCTCCTGGCCGTACTACTAGGAGCAAGGACGCTACTAGGGGCTCCTGGCCTTACTACTAGGAGCAAAGGACGCTACTAGGGGCTCCTGGCCGTACTACTAGGAGCAAGGACGGTACTAGACGCTCCTGACCTTACTACCAGGAGCAAGGACGCTACTAGGGGCTCCTGGCCTTACTACTAGGAGCAAAGGACGCTACTAGGGGCTCCTGGATATATTACTAGGAGCAAGGACGGTACTAGGGGTTTTGGCCTTACTACTAGGAGCAACGGACGCTACTAAAGGCTCCTGGCCTTACTACTAGGAGCAAAGGACGCTACTAGGGGCTCCTGACCGTACTAGGCTCCTTGCCGTACTACTAGGAGCAAAGGACGCTACTAGGGGCTTTACTAGGAGCAAGGGACGCTACTAGGGGCTCCTGGCCGTACTACTAGGAGCAAGGACGGTACTAGGGGCTCCTGGCCTTACTACTAGGAGCAAAGGACGCTACTAGGGGCTCCTGGCCGTACTACTAGGAGCAAGGACGGTACTAGGGGCTCCTGGCCTTACTACTAGGAGCAAGGGACGCTACTAGGGGCTCCTGGCCTTACTACTAGGAGCAAAGGACGGTACTAGGGGCTCCTGGCCATACTACTAGGAGCAAGGACGGTACTAGGGGCTCCTGGCCTTACTACTGGGAGCAAAGGACGCTACTAGGGGCTCCTGGCCGTACTACTAGGAGCAAGGACGGTACTAGGTGCTCCTGGCCTTACTACTAGGAGCAAAGGACGCTACTAGGGGCTCCTGGCCGTACTACTAGGAGCAAGGACGCTACTAGGGGTTCCTGGCCGTACTACTAGGAGCAACGACGGCTCCTGGCCTTACTACTCGGAGCAAAGGACGCTTCTAGGGGCTCCTGGCCGTACTACTAGGAGCAAGGACGCTACTAGGGGCTCCTGGCCGTGCTAGTAGGAGCAAGGACGCTACTAGGGGCTCCTGGCCTTACTACTAGGAGCAAAGGACGCTACTAGGGGCTCCTGGCCGTACTACTAACAGCAAGGACGGTACTACGAGCTCCTGGCCTCACTACTAGGAGCAAAGGACGCTACTAGGGGCTCCTGGCCGTACTACTAGGAGCAAGGACGGTACTAGGGGCTCCTGGCCTTACTACTAGGAGCAAAGGACGCTACTAGGGGCTCCTGGCCGTACTACTAGGAGCAAGGACGGTACTAGGGGCTCCTGGCCTTACTACTAGGAGCAAAGACGCTACTAGGGGCTCCTGGCCGTACTACTAGGAGCAAGGACGGTACTAAGGGGCTCCTGGCCTTACTACCAGGAGCAAGGACGGTACTAGGGGCTCCTGGCCTTACTACTAGGAGCA